CAAAATAATCTGTTCATCAATATATACAAACCGTAAAAAAATTAGTAGTAAGAAAAAAACATTGTCTCGCTTCCATTAGTAAAACCTCTTCCATTATAAGTTATGACTCAGCAGGAGATACAAATTCATTAACATGACGTGCAAAGATACTCACAAAACAAATACATGCATTTACATTATTTTATCTTTGGAACATCAACTTACTTTATGTTTAACGTTCAAGTTCAACCTACTTATCCTATTTTAATTAAATCAAACAATGAAAATAGATTAAATTACATGACTAACAACTAACAAATGGAACAAATAACAAATTAAACTCAATAAAAGAATAAAACATCTGAACCCGGCGTGTAGCGCCGAAATACTCCTAGTATCATAATAAACCAACAATATACTATCTTTAAGAAGAATCTCAGATTTATTTACTATGTTAAAATAAAATAAAATCTATATTTAGGAAAAATAAATTAAATATAACTACACCAACTGATCTATAAAAAAAAATATTTTAACCTATTAATCTAATAATTATTAACAACTTATATACTTATTTTTGTAGGCCATTAACTATTTTGTAGATACGTCATTAACAAAAAAAAACATATGTTAATCATAATATATGTGATTATATATACATATGATCGTGTATATTACTTTTAGTATTATGTTATGCAACCATAACATATGATTAATGTTATTATTTTGCTGATGTCAAAAAAGTATCACAATCTGTGATTGTTCTTTAATATTGTTAACAGTTTTATCAAATTAATATCATTCTAAAACATATAATAGAATTCGTATATAATCATATAATTAAACTAAATATATTTAATAATATATATATAGTACCATTCTCTAGAATGATGTTCAAATGATAAATGAAAAGTGAAAAATAATTTGACAAATAAATTGTAATCTATATAATAGAGTAAAATATAACATATTTTTTATGTGAAAAATGTATTTACAAATATAGACGTACTAATATAAATAATCAACTAAATTGCACTATTTTCATTTTTCTTATTTTAAAGTTTGATTTTTTCAGAAATATTAAAGAAAAAAAAATTATATTTTATCTAACCAAAAATATCATTAACTATTCACCTAATCATAATTCAACAAATAAAAACGCTAACGGAGAATAGAAAAAGTTGTATAAAAAGAAAAAAAATGAATAAACTTGTATTGAAATTTGAAAATGTCATCTAATTTGAAGTGAAAATAATTCTCTAAAACATCATATATTAAAAACAAAGTGAATATATTCTACAAAAAAATGTTAGAAAATTTTATATTTTGTATATAATTATTAAATTACAAGTTACTTATCTAAGATATCAATTTGATTGTTTTACCATGAAAAATTGAAAGACGCAACCGACATAGTTTACAACTGCCTCAATTCAATTTAAAAAATATCCACGCGGTTGCGTAGGTTAAATCTAGTTTGTATTTAAATCAAGTTGTAGGTCATATTTGGCAAATCCTCCGTATAGAAATTATAGGGAACGTGGTTCAATCATCTAATAAGTGAATAAAGTAATTTTAGTACTATTTAATTAAATAAAAAAGAACATTCTTTTATATTATATTGAGAGTTTTATCCTACAAAGTATATATCCAAAAATAGGTGTTTGAAAATTTGTAGAAATAATAGGACATTTGTTGAGGAAAATGGACTTTTAATTCCTCAAGTATTTACAATTAACATTTTTAATACCTAACTATTATTTGTGCAGATTTAATCCTCATCTGAATGCAAACTGCTTAAAACCAAACTTAAAAATATCACCCGTTAACTTTTTGACAGAAAAGTTAGTTCTAATAAAAAAACTAATATCAGGTTTGTCTTTTGAAACCTAGAAATCTATATTCAAGCTGTTTCTAACATCGATTTCTAACATAAGTTGAGCTGATCCCAGGCTCGGTGAGAACTGAGGTGTGTGTGTGCGAGTATTTTTTTTTTTTTGAAACTTTGATAGAGGTATGTGTTCTTATTACGAAAGAACAAGGAAGAAGAAAGAGATCACTTTAATTGAGAATTGGACATGCTTCTTCTTCTGTACAACCCTTTCAATCTCATTATATCATCTTGAACCATAAAAAAAAGAACAAATATAAAAAAAAAAAAACTCATCAACCAATAAGAGCTACATCCCCTAGGCTGCAACTTCATCTGACAAATGTGGGTAGCTCTACAATAGTTGATTTGATCAGGAATTCCTCTCGAGTTACCTTTAAGGTCATAATGTTTAGACTTGGTTACCCAAAGGCAGACTTTTTAGATCCAAGGAGAAGTAGATGTATGAGTGAAATAAGAATTTCTACGTGAACGTCGTTAGGATCTGATCTTTCTTCTTCTTTTTTCCCTTATAAAGTAAATGGTAATAATGAGCAAAGCCTAGAGGAGAATTGTTTTATAACTGTACAAGAAATCACGTTCTCCATTCTCTCAATGGCCGGAATTATTCTCGTCGGAACTATCTAATTCTCGACGGAATTCAGATGAAGTATCAGTTTTACAGATTCTTAGTTTCAAAAAACCAAACCAAATTTTTTTTTCAGAACTAACGATTCTTTCAACAATTTAACAGCTGAGTTTTTAACATCCAGTCGCACAGTCAACACTATTTGAAGATTAAATTTACACAAATAATAGTTGGGTATTAAAAGTGTTAATTATTACAAATACTTGGGGAATTAAAACTCATTTTCCCATATTTGTTGTTAAGAATTATCTCAAAATTTATATTCTTTTAAATTTATTTATAAATAAGGAACACTAATCTAGCTAACTAACATGTTTTTCCTTGTTTTTGAGCATACAATAAATCATTTAGTTAAAGAAATGTTGAAAGAAACAAGTTTTCCAACCAAATCTTCATTAACGAAATCAGGTAATAACTTTTCAATTCAACATTTTCCATATCTACAAAGATCATAAGAGAAGACATAAGAAATAACCAATGTATATTGCTTTGTCCTCTCTCCGGCCAGAGATTAATTAAGCTGAAGGTTAACTTATGGCATCGTCAGCTGCTTAGCAGCAATCTTCACCAACCTGTACATATCCTCTTTATCCTACTCACCAAACCCATAAACGCTTTACATTTACTTCTCATTAAGATTTTTAACTACTACCTGGACCGGCTCTGAGATTTTGGGGCATATGACGATTTCTATATAAAAAAAAATTTGGAAATCTAAAAAAAAATTTGGGGACATATACTCATATAATTTTCTTCAAATTTTTTGGGAATCTGAGGCAAATGTTTCACTAGGCATGCCTCTGGACCGGCCATGACTACTACTTCCCATCTAGTAGACACAGCTTCGTTCCCCGCTACGTGTTAATATCTTTTATTTTTGTTTTTAATGTTAAATCTGTTTTTTTAATGATTTTTGAAAATTTGGAAAGTCTCTCTTCTGTTTTGAGGGCACTATGTTTGTTATGTTTCTCTCCAATTAAAATATACACCAAATGTTAAGAAAATTCACTTTATGATTTGCAATAGTTTCATATACTTTCTATGATGTTATGTTTCTGTCCAAGAAAATCTACGTACGTACACCAAATATAAAGAAAATCACACTCTATCTTCATCTCAGTTCCTAATGTAACTAGATTCAGATCAATTGAATTGATTTTATCCTCAACATAGGGTCACAATTATGTGAATCATCTCAATGGGCCGCACAAGAATTGAAGATGGAGGAATTACCAGTAGCGCTGATGATGATATACTTGAAGAGATAAGCATAAGACATTCAAGCTGAAGATATCGAATTCTGAAGGTACAGGCGAATTGAAATCCCCTAAGATCCCGATGAAGACGATGAGACAAGAATGGTAGAGAGTCTCTTCACCAGAAATACATCATGCAGTCAGAGATACTGAATCATGAGGATTGACTAGGAGCTGTGAGTGGGCAAACGTCAAAATTGAAATATAGAGTAGCCTAACCGTTTACACTTTGAAAGTAAGACTACCAAGCTTTTTAAAATCCCGCGGGATTTGTTTCCTTTTAAAATTTCATCAAATAAAGACAAAGTTTCGTTAATTATGAGATTATATTTAGGCATGAACATCTAAACCGAAATCAAAAACTGAACTGATGTCACAAATGTTCTAATAGTGCCAATATCTCTAGAAGCAAAAAAAGCGAAACCAAATTAGTACCCGAATATTCGAAAATATAGTTTACATAAGCTATTAAATATATTTAGTTTTTCAATTACCAAATATTCTAAAATATTAATTATAAACCAAACTATCAGAGAAAAATGAATTGCCCTAAATATATAAAACTATCTGAATTATACAAAGAATTGGATTACATGAATACTTTAACCAAAATATTTAAATTTATTTAATATTATGTCTTTGACCAAAAAAAAATTTAATATTATGTCTTAAAAATCAGAAATTTCTGATTTTCTCAAAATATCTGAAAACCCGAAACTGAATTGTAACTGGACCCAAGATTTTTGGTCTTCATATTATGTCCTTTACTAGGAGGCACTGAAGAAGATGTGAGCGTGACCTTAGACCAGGGTGATCAGGTGAAGGTTCTTTGAATCTGTTAAACAAAACAGTTTGATTATTTGATTTGGGGTTTAGTTTCTGATACATTCCTTCCAGGTTGAGAAATCTGATGTTGGAAACGTAGAACAGAAGCCAATTTACTCTACTAGACAAGAAGCAGAGGAAGGGAGAAAGACGAAGAAAGGAGTTGAAACAAATGAAAAGAAGCCTAAACGAGAAAGATTGGAGGCTTTCAGCAAAAGACTTCGGCTTTGCATCATAAAACGAGTAAACCATGGAAGACATCGTTCTTCGCAACCTTAACAAGAAAGTTCAAGAGAATACTCTGTATTTGTTGTATATCTTCGCTGCATCTTGTCATGTACACATGCAGCCAATCACATCTATATTACTGTATCGATTGTACATGCAAATGATCAACTACATTCCTAATCATATCCTTAGATTATCAAACACAACTCTTTATAGATAAATTAATAATGGGTTCCGAGATTCACCAGAGCAGAAGTCACCAAATTTAACATCAAATGGATTTACAACAATAGAAAAAAAGAAAAATCAGAGAAGTCTTTGCTTACATCATTATGTGATGATTTTTTTTTTTTTTTTTTTGCATGATGATGTGGACACCATTAACATATTAGCCGCATCAACCTCCTTGGGGTGTAGCACCTGATGGCCCCTGGATTTCTTCATATCCAGCTTTTATTCCATTCGACTCATCTGACAGATCAAACACACCATCTTCAATCTTTTTGTATATTGTTGCCGCTGTATTTATGAATGCCTGGAAAAAAAATTTAGAGCACGACACACCTCAAAAGTTATGATCAATTATTTCTACTGGTGTGTAAGAGAGGAACAAGTAGGAGAGTTTTTGTGGAATGGGACACGAGATATATACTTTATCGGGCAGCCTAATCTAATTTAGTTATTCTATGTTAATTTTTGTAACAAACTTAATCCTTCTAGTATACGAGCTACTGGGGACACGAAAAGTAACGAGACAGTAGAGAAAGTATGTGGGTTAAAATTTCAAAACGCATAAAGCCTAAAAAAGTCACATAGCATGGGTGTGTTTGTTTACCTCTTCGACATTCTGAGCAGTCTTGGCAGAGGCCTCCATGAAAATAAGACCATGCTCCTTTGCAAACTGCTCTCCTTCCTCTGTGGTGACTGCCCTTCTGCTGGCAAGATCACACTTATTCCCAATGAGCATAATCGTCATATTTGCGTTAGCATGCTGCCTTGCATCCTCTAGCCAGCTGGCTAGATGGTTGAACGTCTCTCTCCTGCAAAACAAAGAACATTATCGTCAAACGGTTACATACTACACAAATACAAATCTAGTTCATATCTTTATGTCAAGATCATGCTCAACTTCTAGTTACTACTAGACTAACAAAATTGGAGTCACAATTCATGATAAGAACATTAAAAAAGGGCAACCTAGTGATATCGTAGACAAGCAAAGCCCCTGCAGCACCTCTATAATACGACCTTGTAATAGCCCTAAAGTTTTCTTTACCAGCCTGCATCAAACAGAAAAATTAGCCCCAAAGATTTTCGTAAGTCTAACAAGGAGAAAGAGAGAGAAAGAGACCGTATCCCAGATCTGGAGTTTGAGGGGCTTGTTGTGGATGGTGATCATCCTATCCCCAAACTCAACACCGATGGTGACATCATGCACCTGCTGAAACCTCTTGTCGGTGAACTGAAGCAGATGGCATGATTTCCCTACTCCTGATCAATCACAATCAATTGATTTTTTTTTTTTTTTTTTTTTAGCATGGAAACAATATGAATAGTTCACAATGATCTAATTCTATCTCAATGCATTGAACAAGAATAAAAGATAGGAAGAGTTACCAGTATCGCCGATGATGATATACTTGAAGAGATATGCGTAAGACATTTAAGCTTAAGATATTGATAACCCCTAAGATCTAGATGAAGAGGAGACTTATAGAGACTCGCTTCAGCAGAAAAACATCATGTAGTCTCTTTAGAGATATTGAATTATGAGGGTTGACTAGGAGCTGTGAAATAAAGAGCTGGATTTGTTTGAAAGTGATTTGTCCTCACATGTAGCATAATTCTTTTAAGAGACTTGGATTCAGACCCCCACGGTTCGCGGAGGATATAATATTAAATTTGAAATATTATTGAAAATAATAATTATACATAAAAGTATTTATAATGGAAAAGGATGAAACACAAAAATGAACATTTTCACTTTAGAAGTTATCTCTGAAATGTTGTTTCTAATGCAATGTTTAGAAACAACCAGGAATTTGTTATAAATTTGGTCACTGATGAGATCATGAAAGTGATATGGTGTATGTAAAATTCATGTCTTTATTCTGTTTTCAATTAAGACTCTATAATATTAGTTGATTATATCGTAAATGATGTTTCTTTAATTGACAACTACCATTTTTGATCTCTTTCTTGTATATATGCATCTCTAAATGAACTATGAATTATACCATCAACGGGAAAAATATTTTCATAATGTTTTTGGCTATTTGACATAACTAAATAATATGCAAAGTTTACATAAATGGGTAACATAAGGATAAACATGTTAATTTTTTTTGTCTCGTTAATTATGTAATGATGAGAAATATTACATAGACGATATTATAACCGACAATTCTATCTACCTTATGCGGATTCATGTTTAACTGCATCACTCTGAACTGTTTTTTGAGATCCATTCCTGACGATTGCGCTATACTGAAGATCTCTTATAAGCTTTCTTTCCAATTTTCCGCATAATTTACATTCTCTGTGAATTAAAACTTATAAGTTTCATAGTCTGGATTCGAACCCCATACCTAATATAGAAGTATTTAAATCTTTGACCACTAGATCACTGGTGATTCCACAAACATGTTAATTTAATTAAGTAAAATAATTATTATAAAGTACGAACATAGATAATGATTAAATCGGGTATGTACATATTTTTAAATAATATTTTAATATTTGTCAGTTTGAAGTTATACAAAATATCTTTGGTAAATGAGACATTAAAATTTTCATCTTATTAATACTAAAACTAATATAAAATAACTACAAATAAAAATTTTAGTTTTTATGTGTCCTTAATATTTTATTATTATTATTTAGAGTAATGAATCTTTCACTATTTTTTCTTTTCTTTTTATTTTATCTTTGGATTTTGTCAATGTACACAAATTTTATATAAACAAAAATTTCAAATTGTTAAGTTTTATAGTTTACAATGGTTAGTCGAGCAGCAGTGATTGATCACCAAATTTTGCAATGGATGATTATCAAATGCTGCAATGGTTAATCATTTCACTGTAAGGAAACATTTTTACAATTGCAAATATTAATCTAAACAATGTAATGGTACATTTAAATAATTACAAATGTTAATCTAAAATATTACAATCTCCCATTTACTCTCAATATGATAATTTTGTTTCAAACATATTTTGTTGCAAACTGAATCTAAATCAAATATTATAAATCAAAGTTAGTTTAATACAAAAGACAATATTTTACTATATATATAGCTCAAATTTTATATTAAAGCATGTAATTGAATATACACGACTTTATTTTCTATAAATAAAAAATAAAAAGATAATACCTTTGATATAAATAACAAATTTTAAAATTTAAGACATCATTTTAAGATAAAAAAAAAAATTTGAATTCTATATCATAAGAAAATTTAATATAGAAAAATTTTTAAACTACCATTTTTTCAATATTCATTTTCAGGTTTGTTTTGACCATATTTACCCTTGGGTTTAAGGTAAATAGACACTTAAAACCCTATGGTAACTAATATAGATTTAGTGTTTAGATTTGAGGGTTAAAATTTTGGAGGGTAGAGTTTAGAAATTTAATAAATATATAAATAATTACTTCAAAAATAAGATAAATTTTTAAAATAGTAAAGAATTTTTGAATTTCAAAAGAAAATTTGAAAAATGAGAAAAATCTTCATTTTGTTTTTAGAAAAATCAAATTTGAAAATTTATAAATCAAAAACTATAAAATAAAACTTGCATTTTTTCTTTTTTACTTTTCATTTTTCTAAGCAGGGTTTCAGTAAGTTTTAAATTACTTCTAATGTTTATCACGTTTCAGAGAGGTCCATGAAATTACTTCTCAGAAGTTTCACTTTGCTTATTATAGAATTTGGAGATAATAACTTTTCATGTTCTTAACCAAAATAGATGGTATCAGAACTATTGCATATTTGCAGCTCTTCCTACGGATAACAAAATTATTGGTCTTCACTTTTTGCAGACAATTGGCATCGCTCAAATCATAAAAAGCCAACACGTCTGGTTATTTCCGTTCCAATTTTAAATACAGTATAACCTTTTTAAATTAATACTTTAAAATTTAAGATAAACTAAATTTTCTTATAAAATAATATATATAATTTTATAGTTCTAAATTGAGTTTTTGGTTCAATTAGTATATCGATAAATTAATAATTTCTATAAATTAATAAAAAGTTATAGTTTTGATGTACTCCCAATATTATTAATTTATAAAAGTTTGACTGTACAAGAAATAATTCCATCCCTCCTATGCATACTTCTACAATTTACATAGCCATTTATCTCCGATCCAAAAAAATAAAAATCTTTTCGATTGTGACGGTCACTCCCTTTTCATTAGTGACAGGTTCAACGAGATTATGAATTATTTCCACTGAACTATACTATGATAAGAGTGGTCATTGTATGATACTGGCCTGGGAACCATGGGATACATACATCCCAACAATGATGCTAGGCACTTGTTACTAAAGTCATTGCTGGTGAACGTTCCATGGTTAACATGCAATTCAGTCCACAAAACTTGACTTTATCTTGAGGAGAACATTGGTATACACGTACCATCTTATACAATCAGTAATCTCACATTCTAAAAACATAAAATCTCTACGTTTGGAAAACATTAGTAAAGTCAGAAAAATTTAGTTGTAAATAGAATATTCATTGGCGTCTCTCTAATATGGACGCCAAGTCAATTTCAAAAGGTACCTTCGCGCTACTATGATAGAGCAAACAAATGACTTGTATTCGCTTGCAGTTTCTACAGATATTCTAAATATGAAGAATGAGAAACTCAATAGGGATAGCAAATTGAGTAATCCCAGAAAAATAGATTGGAAAACTCAACAGAGCAGGGACAGTAAACTCAACAAAGACATAAAACGAAAGTGAAGTTCACCAGAAACTCCTCAGGGACAGTATTGCAGATAAATATATCGTAAATTGCAGAAACTCAATAGGGACAGTAAAATCAACAGAAGTTAAATTATCTGAAAAGGAGAGAGGGTTTGAGGAAATAAGATATTCAGCATAGGATGGCAACAAAACAGAGATTTAAAATCTGGAGAGAGAGAGAGATAGAGATAAGAAGAAACCTAGGGAATGAGAACAAATCCCACCGTTAGATTTTAATTTCTTTTCTTATAAGAAACTGATGACATCATTAGTTGAATAAAAACAGTTTGCTATTATATATAGATTAGGTGGACGGCCCGCACGCCTGTGCGGACATTAATATAATATATATATTTATGAATAAAAATAATACAAATGTATAAATATATTATAATTTTTTTCTCTTTTACATAGATACTCTGCTTTTAATATATCTTTCTATCTTACTCATTTTGTTTCTCCTTGTGTTTTTTCACACATTCATTTTGTTTCTTATGTATCTCTCTTTGTATTATTTTGTATGTCTTTGTTGATCAAATAATCTCAAAATCTCTCAAACTTACATTTACTCTCTCACAATCACATATATTCATTCTCTTACCCTCGTCCTTAATATGATCCTCAATATTTCATTTTAAAACTCTTTCTATCTCTCTTTGGATGTAAAATTTTCACCAGATTTTGTTAAATCTTCAAAACACTTTCACATAGTTTTAATAAATGATTTTAGAATCTATCTCACTTATATTCACTTTCATCTTCATTATGATCATAACCAACTCTCTAATCCTTATCATCACCATATCTCCCTCTCTTTCTCCCTTTCTTACATATATTTTTTATTTAGAATTTAATATAAAATCACAATTAGCTAACCAAAAAAATTGATTATCAAATTCTCTCAAATCTTCACACTATCTTATCAAACATGGATTCCTTTGACCAAGATTTTCATTGAAAAAATAAATATCTTATTATTAATTTTTTTAATTACTTCATTACATACATATTTTAAGTAAATCTAAATAACTGTATTTCAAAAAAGTAAATTCTATTAAATAATTATATAACATAAAATATCTTAATTCTTAAATGATGTGATGTCATTATTTTAGACATAGATTAATATAAACATGAGATTCAACAGTTTTAATATATCAGAATAACATGTTTCTAGTTGTATAAATTTTGTTATAACTTTGTTATCATATAATTTAAAAGTTTATTACACCGCAAAAAATACTTATCATTATTTTAAAAATAATTTATTTTAAATTTTTATTTGCGTTATATTTTGCATCTTCACCATTAACAATTTTATAACTTATCATTTTTATTTATCTTCCTTTCTCAATTTTTCTTTATGTTGTATAAACACCTAAAAATAGTTAGTTTACAATTATATTAATACGTAAAAAATATTTTGGTATACAAATAAAAAATTATGTACAAATACAAAATAACGAAGAATACAACAAAAGGATTTATTATTATTCACTCATGTTTTTATATATGTCTCTTTTCTTTTTTTCTTATTAAAAATAAACATGCCAATTTTATTATACTTAAAGCTATATAAATAAAGAATACATATATATAGTGAGTGAGTATAAAAATATTATTAGTTTTCTGTAATGTATGATTTTTTATCCACTATTAATAGAAAAAAATTTAAAATCGTTTATATACTTATTTCTATAGTATAATATAATATGTATTTATATGTATATTCTAAATTATTATAATGGAATATGTGATATTTAATTGTTTCTATA